TATTGTATAAAAAACCCCCCCCCCCCCCCCCCCTTTTCCTGTTACTTTTGAGAAATGATCCTCCTGCTGGTGGAGTCATCCTCAATCAGTTTTTCTGTAGATATTGGAGTTATCTACTTATTTTTTCAACTATTATTTGGTAATGTTTGTTTGGTCACTGGAGACTCCTAGGCAGTCTTTATGCACATGTTTGTGACATGTTATAGGTCTGGGGTGCAGCAGTTCATATTGTGCTGTAGTTTTGATGATATATCAAAGTTGTGGATGTCCCATTCCCTGGATGTCTTCAAGGCCAGGCTGGATGAGGCTTTGAGCAACCTGGTCCAGTGAAGGGTGTCCCTGCTCATGGCAGGGGGTTGGAACTAGATGGTCTTTAAGGTCCCTTCCAACCCAAACCGTTCTGTGATTCTGTGATCTTTGACCTTTCTCAAGAGAATGAGAATTAATAAAAATAACCCATGTCTTATAAGCTGAAATGTGTTATTTGTCTACAGGAGTTCACATTGGCATCCGGAGTTCATGGAATGAAGCTGAATTTTAAAGTTACATGACACCATGCATATTATTCTCATTGCAGCTTCTTTGATTTTTCCTTTTTTGTATTAAAACATCATTTAAAGCAATTTGTGTTGCAAAATTGAAGTTCTTTATTTTACTATTTTTCATTTTTAAGAGTCAGTTCTTGAAGAAATTAATTCCAGTAAAAAGACATTGTTTTAATAGTCTAGGTCTTCCTTTTTCATCTATTCTTTGTCAGATTTTGTCCTTCTTTCCCCTGTACATGTTTTTTTAAATGCGTGATTTGCTTCATTTTGTCCATTCCTGTTCCTCTTTCTTTGTTGTAGGTGCAACCTTGCTTAACTACTAAAAATACATTTTGAGTGGTTTTTTTACACCTGAACATCATCAATAGACAACTAATATTGTTGATGACTTTGTGATAGGAATGTAATGCCATAAAAGCAAAACACAAGCCTGGGCTCTGCTTTTTTCTTCATCCCTTTGAAGGGCAGGAGGAGCTGTTGCTGATATCTGATAGTCTGTCTCGTTTGATTGGTTGCCCTCGCTGCCAGTATCAAGAAAGAAAATCTTACTGAGCAAAAGTCACTCATGGGTTTGGGAGCAGAGTTTGTTCTGCTTATCTGTCTCTAGACTCTATGCCTTGATTAGGAACCAGCTAATGAAGGGAGGAGGATAAAAGATAGAGAAAAAGATATTTGATCTTTCCATTCTTGTGATACTGCAGAAGTAGTTACTAGAAACTTAAGCAACTTAGATTGTTTTATCATTACGGTAGGTAGCGATACAGTGTTCTTTATCATTGTAACAGTGGTAGCTGTTTTAAAATGGTTAGCATATTCTTCAAGACATTACCAGATACTTACTTTCTTCTTAACTGTTGAGTTACATTCTGGGGTGTGGTATATGAGTAGTTTAATGTGCGTAGAACAAACAACAGCTTAGTTCTGGGGCATGTAGAGAACATTCCTGTATTCTGTAATGAAGCATTTGAAAGCCATGTGGAAAGGTTTCCTTTCTTCCTTGCACTCTCTTAATGAATGTACCACAATAATAGACCTTAAATTAAAGGTAACTGTCTGAGGAATAGAAGGTACTTATCATTAGGTTAATTCTGAGGCACAGAAATGAATCTTGTTTTGCTGTCATTTTTGCTTTTCTGTTGCTTTTGTTAAAGACACTGTAAAAGAGCAAGCACTGTGATCTGGTGCTTATGTAGCAACTAATCACTTCAGTTGGGGTTGTATATTTCTGGGGGAGGAAGGATTGGGAGAGGGGAAGGAGAACTCTCTGGTGTCCTGTTTTTGAATATATTGTCATAAGCATCTTTACAAAAGCCGTATGTGCTCACCTCCCATCACTTTGTCAGCATTTGATTGAACGAGATGTGAGGTGTGTAATGACTGTGTGGTCTGGGCAGACTGGCAGTATACTCTTGGGTGCTTAGCAAGGATCCGTTTTGTGCAATGCAACCGAGTCTGTCAGTTAGGCTTTCTTTCTTAGAGCCCGTGCTGAGCACATCCTGAACGATCTCTTGCTTTTCAGGTTAAGTCAGCCACTTGAATGTCTGTTACATAATCCTGCTAGATTCTTGGGGGTTTTAATATTTGCGAAAGTGAAACCATAAATCAATTATGTACGTAGTGGGGGCAAGAGATCATTTTACAGAAATTTACTTGTAAAGCAAATATGTGTTATAATTTGTTTATTCAATAAAGTGATCTTTTTATTACAGATTTTGGACCAACCATGACGAACGTTTTTTATACATGTTAATGGAATACGTGCCAGGAGGAGAACTTTTTAGTTACCTGCGCAACATGGGGCGTTTCAACAACAGCACAGGACTGTTTTACTCCACAGAAATTATTTGTGCAATAGAATACCTGCACTCCAAAGAAATAGTTTACAGAGACTTAAAACCTGAAAATATATTACTAGACAAAGAAGGACATATCAAGCTTACAGATTTTGGATTTGCTAAAAAGCTGGTTGATAGGTAAGTGGGTTTTTTGTTATGGTTTAACATTCAAAATGTATTTACAGTTGGAAGGAAAAAAAAGGTTTTATTTCAGAGCTTAGCATTTCACCTAATATTCCGTGTGGTTCACACATGTCAAATCCCTTAATATTGGGAATAATCTTAAAATGGCTGTGTGAAAACCGATATTACATTTTAGGTATAACTAGGAGCGATATCACAGATAAACTACAGTAAAAAAATATTTCATATGAGTGGGTTTTTAAATTTAATTTGTCAGCAGTCATTTTGTAGGAAGTGAGCTCACTGAAGTAAAATAAGCAAATATTGAAATGTGTACATCAATACATTAAATGGGACGTTAATCTTCCACACAGGTTGAATTGCTAAATGTTTTCTAACAGCTGTTTACTTCTGCTTTCCTTTTAGAGAGATTTTTGAAATATGGCAATAACATTTTAGAACTGGATACTGTGTTTTCACTAGCCTGCTGGTAAAATGAAACTGACAAATCTACAGAAACAATAAGGCCAGCTTCAGCAGAAGTATTTATTTAACTGTAACTTCTGCAATGCCATCAGCCTTATGTCTGTTAATTTATGTAAACTTTTTGATAATGCAGAGGTTTTTTTCCCCCCAGTGATTTCTCTGTTCTCTTTGTTTGAACTACCCTTCCGAGATTATAATACATGCTCTTAAAATGAAGAAAGAGCTATCATTGGGATTGAAACTAAGGGAGGAAAAAACTAGTCTGTCATACTAGAAAAGCAGCGTTACAAGGTTTGGTATTATTCCCTAGGGCCACCTCTTGAGGGCAACCACATCTGGTTGTTCTAGCTGAGGTAGTCTAGTAAGCAGGGTAGGTGCTACATAGGTGCTCATCCTCTTCACTGTCTGCTTTACCTGTTTGATGCTGCTCTTGCAGTGGTTGTTGGGGCTGTGGGGTGCTGTCAGGAGCAGAATTCTACAAGATCAATTTGACATTAAGGTGGACGTGAGGGATCTACTCTTAACGGATCCCTTATGAAGCAGAAATGCATTGGGACACATCGAGTCGTGTTGTGGAGGTCATAAAGGCTGCTTCACTATGGGCTACATGCTCCCAGTGCTGGGTTGGGTCAGCACAGGAGGATGGTAGGCAGCTCATAAGTACGCTGGTTCTGTTCATTCTTAAGGTCTAAAAATCTGTTTTAAAACCATAGACTTTTGTTTGAATTCAGTTTCCATTGGGCAAACAGATAGGTATACAAATATTTCTTTCTAAAAATATTTTGGTTTTAAAAGAAAATAAGCTTTTTTTGGGAGGAGATAAGGCTAATACCATGTAAAAAAAAAAGTAGGACAATATCATTTAATAAGACATTTTCATACAGATTCTTAAGACTTCCTTTTTCATGTAGATACTGCCACTTAGTGGTTATTCTTAATTTGGATTTCTGTGGGTTTTAGGCACAACAGAAGTAACCCTTCATTAAATAAGGTGATAGTTAACGTCAAATATATTTTTCAGTCTGGGAGAGGAATCTACAAGAGCAAATTTGTTCAAATTTGTCATTGTAGGACATCAAAACAAGTTATGAAAGTTATCACTGCTTTTTTTAGTTGTGTGGGTGGTTTTTTTTCCATCCTTTCTTACTAAGACTGGGGGGTTGGGGATTAGAAGTTGATCAGGTTTTGTTGAACTGAATCATAGAACGCTGTAGTAGTTTTGCGTTAGTATCTGATTTATATAAATACACAAAAAGTAACATAAAATGCAGAACACAAAGTTGGAAGGACGAGGACTTTATCAAGTAGAGCATGATAGTTACACGTGCAAGTCTGATTCTCTTCCCTTGACTTTAATAGTATTCACCCTGCTAGCTGTTGTCATTTTCACAGTGCTGGTTTTGTCACTGTAAGAACACAGTTGTCAGCAATTTATCCAATAATGCACTCCAGTATGTTATTTTGTATCACAGACTTTGACCTAAAATATAGGACATGTTTTCTCATTTTTATCATAGAATCACAGAAT